CGAATCCTTTTATAAAACGCGAAAATATATTGCAAGTTCTTACCTGAATAACACAAAAAAATAAAATGTACTATTTATATACATGTAAGAGCTATGAATATTGCAAATATGAGTAAAAGATACATAACTGTTTTCATATGTAATATAATACTATAATTTTGAAAATAAAACATACTGAGCATCGCTCTATTTGTCAAACAACAAGTTGGTTCTACGATCGCACAAGTTATCACATAAACAAACGATTTTAACTGTACTAACCTTTGAATATTAAAAGTCGGATTACATGTTCACAAAAATCGATATTTCCTAATTGTTTCACGTGAAAAATATATATCAATCACGCGAGTAGATTTCACACTGTCATAATCCTGACAAAAGATGTCTATCTCTGATTTATACTTAGAAAACATGTTTTATATATCTTTGAAATGTATGTCAATAATATCATACACATTGTATGTACACATCGTAAGTGCATGCGTTTCATATCCATCTTCCCATGTAGTAAACGACATTTAAATCATATGAAATTGAAGCAAACACATTCAAGACGTTTTCCAAAAATAAAGTCAGATACACAATTATATACTAGCATTAGAAATTAATCAGTTGCCCATCTGCATTATTGAAAGTATATCATGATACAATTAAAGCTCGGGATAACATACTGTTTTTTGGTATATCTGCAGATGCGTATACGTCAACGTATATGATACGGTAGATACGTCTCTAAATGACCGACCTCTAGTTGGAAGTAGTATTATAATAAATTCGTAAAAGATTCCACGGAACACTGTATCTCGCCTGATATTGCTGCTGTCAGTGTAAAAGCGTAATGTTGACTGCATTTATCGGTAAAAACAAAATTTAAAAAACAATGTTTTTCTGTAGATGCTTTCTTTATCTTGATCTTGAAAAATAACTCCTATACAAGTTTTATAACAATTCATGGAGGTTTACAAATTTATCATGTCAAAACAATTTAATTCGGTAATACATTGTTGTATTTAATGTCAAAAAAAAACTTATATAAAAATAAGAAAAATGTAGTATGATTGCTAATGAGACAACTCTCAACCACATACCAAATGACGTAGAAGTTAACAACTATATGTGACTGTATGGTCTTCAACAGTGAGCAAAACCCATACCACATAGTAAGCTATAAAAGGTCCCGAAATGAAAAATGTAAAAACAATTCAAACGAGAAACCTAACGATCTAAATGATGAAGACGCCGACGCCACTACCGACGACGGAATATAGGTTTGTTGTGTCTCACTGCCGCTACATTAATATCGCAGGCTCGACACAAATCAAAAGACTTGTACTTTATTGTCAACAAATGAGACACTTTAAATCAACTCACATTAAAGTTACAGGGAAATGGGGGGATCGGACTAAGCGACAATTAAAGCATCAATTCTATAGAATAAGAATTCTCTGATTTTTTTTAGCTTGTATAATCATTTGAACATATACGAATATCAATCTTTTATTTTTATAAATTGCATTCTCTGATATACCTCGCACTAATTGAAAAAACAAATATCTGTTTCACAGGTGACGACGGATATGTTCCAGTTGTTGTAACCACAATCCTGTCATCTTTTCCTCGAATGTGAACTACCAAAACCAAATCACTGGGTTTGTACTTCCACGAATTACACGACGGGTGCCATACGTTGAGCAAAATCTGCTTACCCTTTCGGAGCACTACGAAGTCATACCGATCTATTGAGTTAAGCCAATTGAAACTGTTTTTTACATTTTTTTCTTATGTTGTGCTGTTACACTACAGTCCGAGATTATGTTAGGGTTTAGCGCTCACATACATGTTAAACTCCGCCACGTGCACTTTCTTTATGTGCCTGTCCCAAGCCAGGAGCCTGTAGTTCAATGGTTGTCGTTGTTTCATGTGTGTCATATTTGTTTTTCGTAGATTGTTTAGTTATAAATTAGATCGTTAGTTTTCTCGTTTGAATTGTTTCACATTTTCACGTGGTGGCCTTTTGTAGCCGACTATACGGTGTGTTGAAGGCTGTACGGTTGCCTATGATTGCTTACATCCACTGCATTTAAACTCTGGTGGATAGTTGTCTCATTGGCAATCACACCACATCTAACTTTATTTCAATTTCTATGTTGTGTTTTGTATACTGTAACATTGTTTATCTTTTGTACGCATACCCCTTAGCCCTCTTTTCGGAAGCCCGAGCAAAAGCCCTTGATCCGCTATAGAAAATTTAAATACGAACTCATATTAGATAACTCGAATTTCAACTCGAAATCTTAATCTAAATGAGACTCAAATTCGAGTCTAACTCGAACTCTTCCTCAAAAGGTGACTCAAATTCGAAGTTGAAGTCGAATTGTAACTCGAACTCTACCTTTAAATGTGACTCAAATTCGAAGTTCAACTCGAAACTCAATGCTAACTTTAACTTTTAATTCTAATAATGGCTTGAATTCTAACTCGAAATCGAAGACTAACTCGAAGTTTAACTCGAACAGTAACCCGAACTTTAATTTGAACACTAACTCGATGGATGGCCACACTCATCCAAGGCTCATAAAACATGGAAATCTATTTAAAAATAGAACTAGTTTTTCAAAATTGGTCACGTGGTTTTACCTCATCAAGTAATGTGATAACCACATCAAAAAATGACAGGACCACATCAAATACTGAAACAAACACATCATGTAGTTTAAAATCGTCATTAAAACATCATTACGTAATGTTAAAGCCATATAAAGAATTGGCAAATCATCATTACGAAATAACAAAACCACATCATGTAATGAAACAACTACATTACGTTAAGTCACATACACATCAAGTAATGTTAAAATCACATTACCTAATGACACATCCACATTAGATAATGGTGAAACCATATCGAGTAATGACAAGACCATATTAAGTAATGACAAAACTATATCAAGTCAATACGAAACCATATCGTGTAATATCGAAATATCATTAAGTAATGACTATTCCATATTGAGTTATATCAAAACATCATTACTTAATGTCAAAACCATATTATGTAAAGGCAAAATATCATCAAGTAATAATAAAACAACATAACGTAATATCAGAGTTCCACATAAGACAGCTTTGGCGTTCCATACCGTATAGTCAGCTATAAAAGGCCACGACATGAAAAATTGTGAAACAATTCAAACAAAAAACCAACAGTCTGATTTATGTCAAAACAATAAACGAAAATCAGATAAAACAGAATGTTCAGTTACAAGGTGACCACTTTTTGACAAATTTAACATAGATGATAATGAATAAAAAAGATGCAATTTATACTTTAAAAAAACAGCAACCTAACAACAGGTAATTTAAATCGATTTTCAGTTCAAATCTCACCACTTTTCACGTGCAGAGAGCGGGATTAAAATTATTTCATCACTACAGTGAAGTATCTATAATACTAAAGGAATGAATTTGCTGGATTTTCAGATAAAAAAAAACAGGTGGCTTTAAATGAAAGAGGTATGATTCTGTACGTTATTCCCGCATAAGATAATAAGCTCTAAAAGGCAAAAACGTTTTCCTCATAAATTTGTAAATGCAATTTTGTATGCACTTATGACATTTATTTTTTCCCAACAATCGAAAATTCAAAAATGCTTGACGTCACAAATATTCAGATGCAAACGCGTATCAAATTTAGTATAAACGTTGTTTACTCTGCAAATTTTACCCTTTGAAATTCGTTTGTATTCCGTGTAATCAATCGTTACTGACAATAAACAAAGCAAGGCTTCATTCTAAAACGAGGATTTTGATGTGATTAGAATTGTTCCCCTTTGCCCAGTTTAACGGAAAATTTCAAACATACGAGATATCGAACGATTTGTAGAAAAAAAGAAATAAATATAACGATAATGATTTATATCCAAACACAGAAGTACTTTAAACCTTATGTCTATATATAACGGATTGTTTTGTGGAGTTCATTTGCCTCATATGTCATCTATAAATAAGTTAAATGAAATTGATTCAGATCTTGAGATTGCGTTTGAATTTTTATTTTTTTTTTTCATTATAGTTTTCTCCATCGTATAAAGCCCCTCCAACTTTGATGAAATGGGAGTTGAAATTACCAGAAGATTTTTTTTTTGTGGAGGGAATATGAGGTCAGATTTGTTATGGGCTACTACAAAAACCGACCGAGAAATAATCATGTGATCAAAACAATTAAAAAATCTATCAGTATTGTAATTATCAAAATGTTTTTCTTACTGGGTTTTTGTTTGATTCTCACATTGGACTTAGGATTTGATTTTGCCTTTTTTACAAATGAATCTGAAACAGCATCTTCATTGTCCAATAAGACTATTTTATTGAGAAAAAAGTTACTAAAATAATTATGTTTGGGTTGCTGTCTCCTTGACGTATACCCCACATCTCTTTAGATGGATAAAATATCGATGTCTCCTGGTATAAACTATCGGAGGTCTTTAAAAGACAAACGATGACCGCTGAAATTCATTCAAATAATGAAATTCATGTAAAATAAGCAGGACGTCCACAGCCTAGACTTCCCTTTTTTTCCTCAAAATAACTGTGATGTCGCAGTACTCATCTTTATTCATAAATATGTCGTTCATATAACCTCTCATCCGTATAAGCAAAACATTAGGATGAAATAAATTTTTTTTTTCATGACTGACAGTCTGGCTGATTGTACATTTTGTACTATAGTATGGTATCTGCATCAGATGAAGAAACATCATAATTTTATCATATAACGAGTAAAAAATTCGATGTTCAGACGTCGAAGTCAGAGTCAGATTGTCGAAACTCGTACGTACGTTGAATAAAATACCCAGTTCTTAGTCAAATTCAAAGTTAATATGTAACAGATATAACTGAACTGTGGAGAAACAATCTATGTTAGTCGATCAAAGATGAAGTCAAATAAACAAATCGTTTATTTCAACGAAATGGGGATGGATCTGTAAAATCATTCCTCACTATTGAGAACTGTAAGAGGAAGAATCAAATTTCTAACTTACTTAAATGTAAGGACTAAATTATGGCGTTTACATCCAGACAACATTTTACAGAATAAAACAGTTATAAAAATATTCAAAACGGTTCTTTTTAGAGTAACACAATCATTTTCAACATTGTTGACTACGAAAGATGGTGAGATATTGTATATATATATATTTCCAATTCCTCGGATCTGAGACTTATTATGAAGTAATCGTTAAACTTTTTATAGAAAGCTCATGTATTTCGCTTGATATTATTTTGTATTTCACGCTAAAACATTGAAAAATGGTTAATCAAGATTCAGGCATCGATTTTGTAATTTTTGTAGGCATTACAGTTGTGAAACGATAGCTCTTTATCCGATTGAAGCCAATTTCTTAAGATTTTGACTATGAAAGAGACTGAAAACCACCGTATCCCGTTTTACTCCCGCCTCTAGGGAAACAGGGTCACATAAATATTCGGTTTCAAATATTAAATGAGCTGGTCAAATTTAGAACACTAAGTACCATTTGATTTTACTATTCGGTTATTTTGTGGACCCATAACTTATGCGTCGGTGATAATGTATAAATTTGTCTGAATTCATCAATGTACGTCTTAGTAACACGACACATTTTAAACATTATGCAAAACTTGTTAACATATTTTAGTTTTGATGAGTCAAGCTCTTTCCAACTGATATACCACAAATATTCTACTAGGAGAGGTCTAGAACCACCCATGCTAGCTTTCAGTCACCGCGAGTATTCTTTTATCGATACTTTGTATCTATTGTTTTTATGTTAGTTGGTTTGTTTGTGCTTCACACCGATCTATTGAGTAAAGCCATTTTAACTGAATTTTAAAGTTTGTTCTTATTTTGTGCTGTAACACCACTGTCCAAAGTTAGGGGGCGGGTTTTGACTGATAATAGAAAATTATAATATATATAACATATATGGGGTATCCATCCATGACACAAAATCAGTTCATGCACAGCAAAAAAAAACACACAGAAAGCAAAGGAACCGCGCTTTTATTGTTGTTCTTCATTAACATGTTTAACCCCGCCACAATCTTTATGTGCCTGTCCCAAGTCAAGAGATTGTAATTCAGTGGTTGTCGTTGGTTCGCGGTGACCTATATCTACTTTTATCTTCGTCATTTGAACTCTTGTGGATAGTTGTCTCATTGGCATTCATATCACATCTCCTTTTTTATATATACATGTCTGTGCTAACATTGTATGTTTGGATCGATACAACATGTGCACCTGGGCGTTGACTTGTTGGATTGTTCCACCATGTTTACATTGGCTTGGACATGTTTTATCTATCCAAATATACCAATGCCGGTGTCCATGCAATTTATAAGATGTGGCAAACAATAATATCTACAAATATACGATATATTTTACGAATGTACGTGTTACGTACTACAGTATTATCAAACTGGTTAAATGCATTGGTTTCGTGCCTTGAAAAGTACTTTATGTTATATAGAAAGTCCAAATAACTGTCCATTCCTGGTAAATAATGGAGCGGAGGCCCGTAGGGCCGACGCCCATTATTTCCCAGGAATGGACAGTTATTTGGACTTTCGCTAACTTAAAATACACCTTGAATATTAAAAACGAATCCTCAGATTATATCATTTTAAAGAATTTTATTTAATTTTTTAATGGTTCTCTTTTCATTTTATTTCAAGATTAACGCCGTTTATTTGCACTGTCGATATAACTGTTATATTTGCCACTGGACATATAACAACAGTGAAAATGAATTCGATTATGTTACGCGTTTCTGTTGAAAATTGATTAAAAACCCCGCCCAATGTTTAACACAAGCAATAGCAATACAAGCAAACTGAAAGTATGTTTCATTCTTCCCTATTATCAGTAAGGAAGCAAAAAAGTTTTAGAAACAAAAATACGCATGATTAAAAACATTTCTGGATTCCGTTTTGTAAGTTCGCAATACCCTTTCGTTGACAGAAAACAACGTATATGATAAAGGTAATGTTATATAATTATACTTATTTTACAGATTTAAAAAGAAGTATTATTCAGAAGATGATGGTAGCAATGTATCATACCAGGAAGACATGACGAAGCAAACTGTACTTTTGAACCTATCTATAAACAAAAAGAGGCCGGTTTTTTATATTACAAAAATATATCTTTTTGTTTATAATAGTATTATTATAAAAACAAAACAACAAATCGACAATCTACCCATATAAAAAAGTTCGAATTAGCACATTAGTACATTTAAGACAAATGTACTCACGATAAATAAGATAAGCATGCTACATGATGAAAGGGTATGATTTCAAGATTCTTAGAGTTTTCCTTACATTTCGGGGTCGATCTGAAGTTATCCCATTGTTATTGAAAACATGCTAGAAGATATCAAGGAGGCAACGTAAAACCATAAGCCAGGAAAAGTTGACAAAACCATTGTCAATAGGACTTTCAAGATGAACAACACTCCATGAAAACTTTTCGTAAAAATAAAGACTGAGCCACACGAACCCAAAAAAAAGGGGTTGAACTCCGTAATTTTCTTTTTTTTTTTTTTTATTTTTCATTAGTGAAAAACGTTGAGTTATTCGTGTTATTCCGATAAGAACAATGTTATTTAATTCTAAGATCTAAGACTTCAGCCGTATCATTAAGAACTGTCAATCATTGTAGTTCTAATCTGTGAAGGTTCGATTTCATTTAATTGTAGCTCATTTTTAACGTGCTACTAATATTTACTATAAAAGAACTAGAGGAACTATTAAACATTGATTTTACCTAGTTTAATTCTTATAACAATTTCATTCAATGACAAAAACTCTTCTCAATCCTCTAAAAATTGTACAATGGCATTATAAAAATAGGGAGATGGAGTATGATTACCAATGATCCACTAAATTCAAATAAAGTGGCTGTAAGCACTTATAGGCAACCGTACGGCTTTCAACAATGAGAAAACCCTATACCGTATAGTCGGCTATAAAATGCCCCGACATGAAAAATATGAAACAATTCAATTGAGAAAACTAACGGCCTAATTTATAACAAAACAATTTACGAAAAAACAAATATGACAGACATGAACCAACGACAACCACTGAACTACAAATTTCTGACTTAGGACAGGCACATAAAGAATATGACGGGGTTAGACATGTTTGTGAGCGCTCAACTTTCCCCCTAACCTTAGAAAATGGTGTAACAGCACAACATAAGAACAAACTATAAAAAATCAGTTGAAAAAGACTTACAGGTAACTCATCAGATCGATGCTTATTTGTTTTCACTATAAGCTATTTTAACGTAACAAAAATATGTGTCAGTGTAATTGTATGCATCTCCAATAGTTACATGGTTGTTAATAGTTTTTCATCTTTTTTAATGATTCTGTTATCAATTTGGTTTGATTTGTACATTATATTACGGGAGATAACCGCGTTACACAAACTGGCAAAGAAACAACTCCTCAAATTAAAAATACATTGACGTTTGTGTTTCTAAAACTCTATTGGCCAAATTTGTACAAAGAAGATTGGGCAGATGAATGTATGGATGTATTGATTGATAGATTGCTGTTTATTGTCCACTGGAAAATATCGCAAGCAATATGAATATAACCCTGATCTGTTCTAGATTGACACGGCGAGTTCGGTTTTTAATGAGTTACTTTACAAGGTATTTTACCTACCTGTTCCGACTCGGGCGGATCATTCAAATGACACTTTGGTGTCAATATACGATCTTCAATAACTGTTTGGTACCATTGTTTAAAATTGTTGGAACCACAATCCCGACCTCTTTTCTTCGAATGTGGCATACCAAATTAAACATATCAACGAGTTGGTACTTACATCAGCAACACGACGGGTGCACATGTGTAGCAGAATCTGCTTACCTATCTAGAGCGCCTGACATCACTCCAATTTTTGGTGGGGTTCGTGTTGTTTAATCTTTAGTTTTCTTTGTTGTGTTTTTTATACTGCTGTTTGTCTTTTGATCCTTTTTTTTTTGTCATGGCATTGTCATTTTGTTTCTACTTATGTGTTTGAAAATTCATTTGATATTTTTGTCCTCACTTGAGTCAAGCTCTATATCGACCCGATTCTACAAAAGTTGATACGACAGAATATCTTCCGTTAAAACAACATTTTTAAATGGAGAGAAGAAAACAATTAAATATAAGACTAATGAAGTTCCTGGCATGAAATAGGCACATGAACATGTTGCAGGTTTAAAATTAATTATGCACCTACTTGTAAATTGTTGACCAATATTCTCCCTGAACCGGTAACAAAATAAGGAATAGGGCGATATGATCTTAAAGTGCTGATTAATCTTCTAAAATCAGAGGTTTTCATGAAAAACATAATATAATAAGTTTGTTGCATTTATTTTGTTTTTCTATTCATCGATCCGACACTTTTAGAGTATAAACCGAAAGGCATAAAGGCCAATCATCATAAGAACTTTAATCTTTAATATTGATTTCAACAAAACAAACAAATTATATAACCAAGTTCTCTCTTATTGCTAAACTCGTTTTTAACTTTTGTTGGACGTGCATGAGCTCCAGGGTCTTGGTAGCCGAAATTTTTTTCGTTCGTAAACGTAAAATTTCTCTAAGCCTCTGTCGAAAAGAGGAACTCATTGTCATAAATATAAAGAAATTTGACAAAAATCCCATGTAAACGATTAGATTGAGGATTGTGGCGGATATAAATCTGCTTTCTATATCTAAGTCGGATGTTGTTGGGTCCGGTTCTACGATTATCCATGTATAGACAACAGCAAATGGTAATTCCGTAACCAAGAAGCATACCAAAATAATAATTATCGTTTTATTAGTTCTCTCTATGTATCTAAATTTACGTCTCTTTGAAGCTGTCTCTGTTTGGAGTCTTAGCATTTCCTTCTTTGCTTCTTTAAGCTTACAAATTAACAAAACAGTGACCACTGTAAGAATGCAACAGGGCAGTATTGTTCCTATGGTATCTTTCATCCATGTTACAACTAAGTTTTCTTTTTCTGTTGTATCCCGTCCACTGCACACACAAATATCACCGATGAATTCATTGTCTTCGATATTGAATAATGTAATCGAACGGTATATTTTGCTGTGTAAAGTAGGTATGATATTTATTGAAGCAGAAATTATGACTATGAAAACTATTCCCAGAATTGAATTGTTCATGGTTGCAATCCTTCGACCACTGAATAACATAGTCACCACGATAAGACGATGTATTGCTAATGTTGTTGTCAGCCATTTTGAAATGCAATGAAACATAGAGGCTAAATAATAAGAAAGATCGTGGAAAATACAAAACGGATACTTCATAACTTTGAAATTGTTTTCAAATCCATAGACAAGAATAAATGTTGGACTAATAACTAATACTCCTAAACTGTCTGAAAGCGCTAGTGCAGTCAGTAGAATATTTGTTGGTGATTTTCTGTTTGTTGTCATGAACACGGTAATAGCCAATGAGTTTAGAACCAACAAAGCTAATGCTACGGTGGGAATAACGTACCCATAAATAGGGTTTGACAAATTTCCTGATTTGTTATACGTAAAACATAGCTGAGGATGATATTCTGAATCGTTGTCACCGTTTATATACAATAAGTTGCTTAAATTGGAGGAGTAAAAGAATACATTGTTCCTTTTCATCATTGAGATTTGTCTCTTTGGTAAACCGTTAATTCACCAACTTTATATCTTACTATCGCTTGTCCAACGAATTTCCATGGTTCTATATCACTGGATTATCTAACATGAAAAAGGTTCAACTTTAGATGTTTTAGATACTGTAGTATATCAAATTTAACTCAATTTACACTTATAATATATTCTTATATTCCAAAGCTATAGAGCGAACAAAATGCTTTACACTTATCAATCAATTATTATTGTCAATGGTCAATATTTGGTAGAAAACGGACCTCTGCAAATGTAGTTTTACTACATACGGAGCGATCTGCTTAAAGTTTAGAACATTATATCATATTCCATATCCCGCTTGTATATAAATATTCCGAAATTTTTTTTTATAAGTCCGTTCAATTTAATATCACTGAATTTCTAAAAGTTTATTGATTGAAAGCTATGTTTTAATAAAATACGAAGTGTTTTACATGCTTTTAAGCTTTTAATATTTTCAGTTATTTGAATCAGAACGTGATTTTAAAAGTCTTTTAAAAGTAAAGTAGAAATACTCACGCAAACATTCGAATTTTACCTTCTTTATGGTATAATTAGTTGTTTAACAATCAGTTAACCCCATTGTGTTGTAACTGTCATGGGCTAACAAAATTTGAGTGATGATTTATATCTCCAAAATAGAAACATGTAAAATGAAATGACTTCATTTTGGACATGATACCGCATGACACCTAGTATTCCTGGTATTACAAAAACGGAGCTATTTCTACTTACAACAAGTGTGCATTGTTCCGGGAGTTTATTTTCTGTCGTTGATTCCTTTTTCTTTGTGTAACACTCTTACGCAAATAATAACGTTAGAACATGGACACTTGTTATCTTTTTGGTTTAATATTTTTTGATACAAAGAACAAATGAATACAAGTAGCAGTGCTATAAAATTTGTATTACACCATTTTTTAATTATCAGGGCAGACAACATATCTAACAGAATTTACGTTAGAAAAGTATTGACAGTAGAGACTAAACTTTGATCTCGTCATCTGAACGTACGCTTTTCACTCACTCCCGTTGGGTGATAAAGGCCAGCAGTACTGGGACTTGCAATTCGAACAATTCTGCAATTTCAAAATATGTTATCTATTAAAAACTCTAATAAAGAGCCATGGTGTAATGTTGCCTTTTAAATTTTGCTTTACTTATTTTCAAAAGGAGCGTTCGAAAAGACGAAAGCAAGTTCGGATAAAAACAAATATTTGAAGTGCTGGACTTTAATCAACGTTTCAGTGCTCTCCAGTACTGACAGTCCTGCTTTTTTTACATCTTTAATTTTATACGACTATGAATTTTTTTTCGGCAACAAAGTATCTTAAAACACATAATAAAGTTTATGCATTTAATATATCATTATTATTTGATATTCTGTCACAATCTTCATTAATATGCATGAAATATTTTCCACTGGACATTTAGCATACAACAATCAATGAACATATAACATAACTCGTGAAAAAGGTTCACATTGTTTCATGGCTAAGAGTTTTAGATATCGAAACGCAGAAAACCCGATAATCTGTTTGTCGGTGACATCTCAGACATTTTATAGTCACTAATAATTACAATTGCTCCGGTCTCAAGGCCGTGATACGAAAATTACGAAACGACTGAGCAGGGTGATTGATAATGGCGAAGGCCAGGACGAAAAGCGTGACATATTTACCATTGGACGTTTAGCCTACAACAATCAACCAATCTATGACATTACGGATAATTTACAGTGACAGTGCTATCAGATTTATAATATTTTTACAGCCGAAAGCAGACAAAAAATTAAGAGTAATGTGACAAAATTTACGGAAAAGATATATATGGACAGTAGCAAGACCGAATTGATCTTGTCATCTAAACGTTCGGTTTAAAGCAACTCCCAGGAGATATAAAAGACAGCACAACTGGACTGTGATTTTCTTACCAACCATGTAATTCAAAACTAATACAGTATAAAATATTTCGGAGCGAAAGTATACGGATAACAAATTCAAATATTTTGCAAACTTTTGTTTGTTATATTTAAAAAATATTATAAAGAGCCAATTACATATTGATTCATTGTTTTTTTTTAAATTCAGAATCGATTATTTTTCATCTGCGCAGTTATCAAGTACGAAGAAGACGAAATACGTAAACGTATAAATAACGTATTTTTCAATCAAACTAAGTAATAAAAAATATTACGTTCTCCGAGTTCATTTTACAGATTGTTTAATATCTACGGTTTTCAAACCCTTTATATTGCGTGTTTAAATCTGAAAGAATTGGTTCATTTTGTATTTAAAGGTACCAGGGCAACGAAGTTTGACTGTGTGATATATGCATATATATATAGTTGTTAAGTGTGAAGAGCTGTAAAAAGAATGAAATAAGGAAATGTGGTATATAGATGCCAATGAGGCAACTATCCAACAGAGTCCAAATGACGTGGATTAAAGCAATAATATGTCACCGTACGGCCTTCAACAATACAACAAAACCCACACCGTATTATGGAACGCCACAGCTGTCTTATGTGGAACTCTGATATTACGTTATGTTGTTTTATTATTACTTGATGATATTTTGTCTTTACATAATATGGTTTTGACATTAAGTAATGATGTTTTGATATAACTCAATATGGAATAGTCATTACTTAAGGATATTTCGATATTACACGATATGGTTTCGTATTGACTTGATATAGTTTTGTCATTACTCGATATGGTTTCACCATTATTAAATGTGGTTGTGTCATTAGGCAATGTGGTTTTAACATTACTTGATGTGTATGTGACTTAACGTAATGTAGTTGTTTCATTACATGATGTGGTTTTGTTATTTCGTAATGATGATTTGCCAATTCTTTATATGGCTTTAACATTTCGTAATGATGTTTCAAAATTTGACGATTTTACACTACATGATGTGTTTGTTTCAGTATTTGATTTGGTCCTGTCATTCTTTGATGTGGTTATCACATTACTTGATGAGGTAAAACCACGTGACAATTTCGGAAAAAAATATGTTCTATTTTTAACCGATTTCCATATGTCGTTTGTTTAATGTGCTTTGGATGAGTATCGCTATCCATTGAGTTAAAGTTCAAATTAAAGTTTGAGTTGTTGTTCAGAGTTATTTGGTATGACAAAGGGGATCGGCAGACAAAAATAAAAAAAGTACTAAAAAATTAACAGTATTTCGGACATAAGGGGGATATCCCCAAACCACTTGGTCCTGTCGTTTTTTTTCCATTGTTCTTAAAAACGTATCAATCGTATCATATTCGTTGACGTATACGCATCTGCATATATACCAAAAAATATTATGTGATCCCGAGTTTAAGACTATTATACGTTGAGCTTCATTTTTTTTTTATCAAATTGGATCCTATTCAAAACAATCAAACACAAACTTTCAATATTTGCGATGATGGTGTTTTGCAAAAAAGGGCGTCTATCAACGACTCCTGCATGCTCTCGGAAAGGAGCGAATGTGGGGCAGTGACACGAATCCTTTTATAAAACGCGAAAATATATTGCAAGTTCTTACCTGAATAACACAAAAAAATCAAATGTACTATTTATATACATGTAAGAACTATTAATATTGCAAATATGAGTAAAAGATACATAACTGTTTTCATATGTAATATAATACTATAATTTTGAAAATAAAACATACTGAGCATCGCTCTATTTGTCAAACAACAAGTTTGGTTCTACGATCGCACAAGTTATCACATAAACAAACGATTTTAACTGTACTAACCTTTGAATATTAAAAGTCGGATTACATGTTCACAAAAATCGATATTTCCTAATTGTTTCACGTGAAAAATATATATCAATCACGCGAGTAGATTTCACACTGTCATAATCCTGACAAAAGATGTCTATCTCTGATTTATACTTAGAAAACATGTTTTATATATCTTTGAAATGTATGTCAATAATATCATACACATTGTATGTACACATCGTAAGTGCATGCGTTTCATATCCATCTTCCCATGTAGTAAACGACATTTAAATCATATGAAATTGAAGCAAACACATTCAAGACGTTTTCCAAAAATTAAGTCAGATACACAATTATATACTAGCATTAGAAATTAATCAGTTGCCCATCTGCATTATTGAAAGTATATCATGATACAATTAAAGCTCGGGATAACATACTGTTTTTTGGTATATCTGCAGATGCGTATACGTCAACGTATATGATACGGTAGATACGTCTCTAAATGACCGACCTCTAGTTGGAAGTAGTATTATAATAAATTCGTAAAAGATTCCACGGAACACTGTATCTCGCCTGATATTGCTGCTGTCAGTGTAAAAGCGTAATGTTGACTGCATTTATCGGTAAAAACAAAATTTAAAAAACAAAGTTTTTCTGTAGATGCTTTCTTTATCTTGATCTTGAAAAATAACTCCTATACAAGTTTTATAACAATTCATGGAGGTTTACAAATTTATCATGTCAAAACAATTTAATTCGGTAATACATTGTTGTATTTAATGTCAAAAAAAAACTTATATAAAAATAAGAAAAATGTAGTATGATTGCTAATGAGACAACTCTCAACCACATACCAAATGACGTAGAAGTTAACAACTATATGTGACTGTATAGTCTTCAACAGTGAGCAAAACCCATACCACATAGTAAGCTATAAAAGGTCCCGAAATGAAAAATGTAAAAACAATTCAAACGAGAAACCTAACGATCTAAATGATGAAGACGCCGACGCCACTACCGACGACGGAATATAGGTTTGTTGTGTCTCACTGCCGCTACATTAATATCGCAGGCTCGACACAAATCAAAAGACTTGTACTTTATTGTCAACAAATGAGACACTTTAAATCAACTCACATTAAAGTTACAGGGAAATGGGGGGATCGGACTAAGCGACAATTAAAGCATCAATTCTATAGAATAAGAATTCTCTGATTTTTTTTAGCTTGTATAATCATTTGAACATATACGAATATCAATCTTTTATTTTTATAAATTGCATTCTCTGATATACCTCGCACTAATTGAAAAAACAAATATCTGTTTCACAGGTGACGACGGATATGTTCCAGTTGTTGTAACCACAATCCTGTCATCTTTTCCTCGAATGTGAACTACCAAAACCAAATCACTGGGTTTGTACTTCCACGAATTACACGACGGGTGCCATACGTTGAGCAAAATCTGCTTACCCTTTCGGAGCACTACGAAGTCATACCGATCTATTGAGTTAAGCCAATTGAAACTGTTTTTTACATTTTTTTCTTATGTTGTGCTGTTACACTACAGTCCGAGATTATGTTAGGGTTTAGCGCTCACATACATGTTAAACTCCGCCACGTGCACTTTCTTTATGTGCCTGTCCCAAGCCAGGAGCCTGTAGTTCAATGGTTGTCGTTGTTTCATGTGTGTCATATTTGTTTTTCGTAGATTGTTTAGTTATAAATTAGATCGTTAGTTTTCTCGTTTGAATTGTTTCACATTTTCACGTGGTGGCCTTTTGTAGCCGACTATACGGTGTGTTGAAGGCTGTACGGTTGCCTATGATTGCTTACATCCACTGCATTTAAACTCTGGTGGATAGTTGTCTCATTGGCAATCACACCACATCTAACTTTATTTCAATTTCTATGTTGTGTTTTGTATACTGTAACATTGTTTATCTTTTGTACGCATACCCCTTAGCCCTCTTTTCGGAAGCCCGAGCAAAAGCCCTTAATCCGCTATAGAAAATTTAAATACGAACTCATATTAGATAACTCGAATTTCAACTCGAAATCTTAATCTAAATGAGACTCAAATTCGAGTCTAACTCGAACTCTTCCTCAAAAGGTGACTCAAATTCGAAGTTGAAGTCGAATTGTAACTCGAACTCTACCTTTAAATGTGACTCAAATTCGAAGTTCAACTCGAAACTCAATGCTAACTTTAACTTTTAATTCTAATCATGGCTTGAATTCTAACTCGAAATCGAAGACTAACTCGAAGTTTAACTCGAACAGTAACCCGAACTTTAATTTGAACACTAACTCGATGGATGGCCACACTCATCCAAGGCTCATAAAACATGGAAATCTATTTAAAAATAGAACTAGTTTTTCAAAATTGGTCACGTGGTTTTACCTCATCAAGTAATGTGATAACCACATCAAAAAATGACAGGACCACATCAAATACTGAAACAAACACATCATGTAGTTTAAAATCGTCAAATTTTGAAACATCATTACGTAATGTTAAAGCCATATAAAGAATTGGCAAATCATCATTACGAAATAACAAAACCACACCATGTAATGAAACAACTACATTACGTTAAGTCACATACACATCAAGTAATGTTAAAATCACATTACCTAATGACGCATCCACATTAAATAATGGTGAAACCATATCGAGTAATGACAAGACCATATTAAGTAATGACAAAACTATATCAAGTCAATACGAAACCATATCGTGTAATATCGAAATATCATTAAGTAATGACTATTCCATATTGAGTTATATCAAAACATCATTACTTAATGTCAAAACCATATTATGTAAAGGCAAAATATCATCAAGTAATAATAAAACAACATAACGTAATATCAGAGTTCCACATAAGACAGCTTTGGCGTTCCATACCGTATAGTCAGCTATAAAAGGCCACGACATGAAAAATTGTGAAACAATTCAAACAAAAAACCAACAGTCTGATTTATGTCAAAACAATAAACGAAAATCAGATAAAACAGAATGTTCAGTTACAAGGTGACCACTTTTTGACAAATTTAACATAGATGATAATGAATAAAAAAGATGCAATTTATACTTTAATAAAACAGCAACCTAACAACAGGTAATTTAAATCGATTTTCAGTTCAAATCTCACCACTTTTCACGTGCAGAGAGCGGGATTAAAATTATTTCATCACTACAGTGAAGTATCTATAATACTAAAGGAATGACTTTGCTGGATTTTCAGATAAAAAAAACAGGTGGCTTTAAATGAAAGAGGTATGATTCTGTACGTTATTCCCGCATAAGATAATAAGCTCTAAAAGGCAAAAACGTTTTCCTCATAAATTTGTAAATGCAATTTTGTATGTACTTATGACATTTATTTTTTCCCAACAATCGAAAATTCAAAAATGCTTGACGTCACAAATATTCAGATGCAAACGCGTATCCAATTTAGTATAAACGTTGTTTACTCTGCAAATTTTACCCTTTGAAATTCGTTTGTATTCCGTGTAATCACTCGTTACTGACAATAAACAAAGCAAGGCTTCATTCTAAAACGAGGATTTTGATGTGATTAGAATTGTTCCCCTTTGCCCAGTTTAACGGAAAATTTCAAACATACGAGATATCGAACGATTTGTAGAAAAAAAGAAATAAATATAACGATAATGATTTATATCCAAACACAGAAGTACTTTAAACCTTATGTCTATATATAACGGATTGTTTTGTGGAGTTCATTTGCCTCATATGTCATCTATAAATAAGTTAAATGAAATTGATTCAGATCCTGAGATTGCGTTTGAATTTTTATTTTTTTTTCATTATAGTTTTCTCCATCGTATAAAGCCCCTCCAACTTTGATGAAATGGGAGTTGAAATTACCAGAAGATTTTTTTTTTGTGGCGGGAATATGAGGTCAGATTTGTTATGGGCTACTACAAAAACCGACCGAGAAATAATCATGTGACCAAAACAATTAAAAAATCTATCAGTATTGTAATTATCAAAATGTTTTTCTTACTGGGTTTTTGTTTGATTCTCACATTGGACTTAGGATTTGATTTTGCCTTTTTTACAAATGAATCTGAAACAGCATCTTCATTGTCCAATAAGACTATTTTATTGAGAAAAAAATTACAAAAATAATTATGTTTGGGTTGCTGTCTCCTTGACGTATACCCCACATCTCTTTAGATAGATAAAATATCGATATCTCCTGGTATAAACTATCGGAGGTCTTTAAAAGACAAACGATGACCGCTGAAATTCATTCAAATAATGAAATTCATGTAAAATAAGCAGGACGTCCACAGACTAGACTTCCCTTTTTTTTTCCTCAAAATAACTGTGATGTCGCAGTTCTCATCTTTATTCATAAATATGTCGTTCATATAACCTCTCATCCGTATAAGCAAAAAATTAGGATGAAATAAATATTTTTTTTTCATGACTGACAGTCTGGCTGATTGTACATTTTGTACTATAGTATGGTATCAGCATCAGACGACGAAACATCATAATTTTATCATATAAGGAGTAAAAAATTCGATGTTCAGACGTCGAAGTCAGAGTCAGATTGTCGAAACTCGTACGTACGTAGAATAAAATAGCCAGTTCTAAGTCAAATTCAAAGTTAATATGTAACAGATATAACTGAACTGTGGAGAAACAATCCATTTCAGTCGACCAAAGATGAAGTCAAATAAACAAATCGTTTATTTCAACGAAATGAGGATGGATCTGTAAAATCATTCCTCACTATTGAGAACTGTAAGAGGAAGAATCAAATTTCTAACTTACTTAAATGTAAGGACTAAATTATGGCGTTTACATCCAGACAACATTTTACAGAATAAAACAGTTATAAAAATATTCAAAACGGTTCTTTTTAGAGTAACACAATCATTTTCAACATTGTTGACTACGAAAGATGGTGAGATATTGTATAGATATATATTTCCAATTCCTCGGATCTGAGACTTATTATGAAGTAATCGTTAAACTTTTTATAGAAAACTCATGTATTTCGCTTGATATTATTTTGTATTTCACGCTAAAACATTGAAAAATGGTTAATCAAGATTCATGCATCGATTTTGTAATTTTTTTAGGCATTACAGTTGTGAAACGATAGCTCTTTATCCGATTGAAGCCAATTTCTTAAGATTTTGACTATGAAAGAGACTGAAAACCACCGTATCCCCTTTTACTCCCGCCTCTTGGGAAACAGGGTCACATAAATATTCGGTTTCAAATATTAAATGAGCTGGTCAAATTTAGAACACTAAGTACCATTTGATTTTACTATTCGGTTATTTTGTGGACCCATAACTTATGCGTCAGTGATAATGTATAAATTTGTCTGAATTCATCAATGTACGTCTTAGTAACACGACACATTTTAAACATTATGCAAAACTTTTTAACATATTTAAGTTTTGATGAGTCAAGCTCTTTCCAACTGATATACCACAAATATTCTACTAGGAGAGATCTAGAACCACCCAAGCTAGCTTTCAGTCACCGCGAGTATTCTTTTATCGATACTTTGTATCTATTGTTTTTATGTTAGTTGGTTTGTTTGTGCTTCACACCGATCTATTGAGTAAAGCCATTTTAACTGAATTTTACAGTTTGTTCTTATTTTGTGCTGTAACACCACTGTCCAAAGTTAGGGGGCGGGTTTTACGCTGATAATAGAAAATTATAATATATATAACATATATGGGGTATCCATCCATGACACAAAATCAGTTCATGCACAGCAAAAAAAAACACACAGAAAGCAAAGGAACCGCGATTTTATTGCTGTTCTTCATTAACATGTTTAACCCCGCCACAATCTTTATGTGCCTGTCCCAAGTCAAGAGATTGTAATTCAGTGGTTGTCGTTGGTTCGCGGTGACCTATATCTACTTTTATCTTCGTCATTTGAACTCTTGTGGATAGTTGTCTCATTGGCATTCATATCACATCTCCTTTTTTATATATACATGTCTGTGCTAACATTGTATGTTTGGATCGATACAACATGTGCACCTGGGCGTTGACTTGTTGGATAGTTCCACCATGTTTACATTGGCTTGGACATGTTTGATCTATCCAAATATACCAATGCCGGTGTCCATGCAATTTATAAGATGTGGCAAATAATAATCTACAAATATACGATATATTTTACGAATGTACGTGTTACGTACTACAGTATTATCAAACTGGTTAAATGCATTGGTTTCGTGCCTTGAAAAGTACTTTATGTTATAGAGAAAGTCCAAATAACTGTCCATTCCTGGTAAATAATGGAGCGGAGGCCCGTAGGGCCGACGCCCATTATTTCCCAGGAATGGACAGTTATTTGGACTTTCGCTAACTTAAAATACACCTTGAATATTAAAAACGAATCCTCAGATTATATCATTTTAAAGAATTTTATTTAATTTTGTAATGGTTCTCTTTTCATTTTATTTCAAGATTAACGCCGTTTATTTGCACTGTCGATATAACTGTTATATTTGCCACTGGACATATAACAACAGTGAAAATGAATTCGATTATGTTACGCGTTTCTGTTGAAAATTGATTAAAAACCCCGCCCAATGTTTAACACAAGCAATAGCAATACAAGCAAACTGAAAGTATGTTTCATTCTTCCCTATTATCAGCAAGGAAGCAAAAAAGTTTTAGAAACAAAAATACGCATGATTAAAAACATTCCTGGATTCCGTTTTGTATGTATTTGACTTAAGTGGACAACAGTCTACCTTTTAATTTCATTTAAACATTTATTTCAAGATTAACGCCGTTTATTTGCAATGTCGATATAACTGTTATATTTGCCACTGGACATATAACAACAGTGAATGAATTCGATTATGTTACGCGTTTCTGTTGAACATAGATTAAAAACCCCGCCGAATATTTTATACAAGCCTTATTCAAATGTTATCCATACCCCTCAAATTTTATTCATAAGTACTATATTTAAATTATAATAACGAACAATCAAATAAAGTATCGAATACGCCATTTTGACCAATTTTAAAAGTTTCTTGGACTTTTTATTCTATTGAACCACAATATTATTGTAGAAACAATCCGAGTAATTTTTGTGTTTTAATTTATATATTATATAAAAATGCAACAAACGATTTTTGCTGTGCAAAATCAAAATATTTCAAGGAAATGATATCTTAAACGGTAAAATTAAAATCAAATCTTTATGTGAAATATATTTTCTCTTACTTTCATTATTGAATAATGTTAATGTGTTCAATATTACAATAGAATTCACTGACTCACACACAGTAAACACATTTGCTATTTTGTAGATGCACAGAAGAGGAATGGGACTCAATTGAAAATATTCGTGTTTACCCATTTGGATACTAAAAAATTCAGCCATGATTTGCATCGGAAAACAAATTGTGGATTATATTGTTGAATTTTAGTGAATACGATACTATATTTTACAAGATGGAATTACGACTCGGATATTTAGTGTTCATTGTATTACTACGATCCTAATTTTTTTTTAAATCCAGTATCAGTCGTTTCAGTAAGATTTAATTTTCATTCAATATCGCGTTTCGTCCTCTAGAATTATTCCCATGGGTGAACACTTTTTAAGAAAGTGCCCATGGAAATATCCAAAGGGCAAAACGTCCGGATGAATGAAGACGAACAATAGAAAATAACTCTCCATTCCTGAAAAAATAATGGAGAGTTTAAACAAAAGATTTACGTCACAGGTGTATTTTAATTTAACCTTTTCATTGTTTTTTTAAACGTTATCGCACTGACATATAACTTTTTATGTACTAGTATTAGATACATTACAAAGGTAACAAAGAAACAGTAACAACTGTTGCCGGATACTTTTTCATCACGAGTAGTCAG